CTTTTTAAACCTTTTTGTTAGAAACTAAGACACAAACACACACATTAACTTAGGCCTACATGGGGTCAGTATCATCAATATCATTGTCTTGTTCCTGCACATCTTGTCCCACTGGAAGTTCTTCAGAGGCAATAACACGCATGGAGCTGTTGTCTCCCATGATAACAATGCCTTTTTCTGGAATATCTTCTGAAGGATCCACCTGAGGCTCTTCTTGAGGAGGTGGCACTCTTTTCAGAAATTTGTCCATGGTGGTTTCCTTGGCTTGTTTCTTTTTTAAAATCATAGATGTGCTTATAAGCAGATGATGCATCATGAACATTCTTCTCTATTAATGAAAACCTTTTGGTGTTGGGGTCTGTGTTTTCAGAGTTTTTAAGGAGGTGGTTGAGGTCTAAAAAAGCTTCTGATAAACGCTTCACAGTGATTTTTCTTGGAGGTTCTTTTTTTCTCCTGCTTTTTTTCTCTTGCTGCTTCTTCAGCTGTTCCGGTTCCAGTTCCTACAACTCCTCATTAGTCAGTCAGTTCCTCAGGAGCCACCCCTAGCAGCCCCTCAGTGTCATCCTCATCCACACCCAGGTTAAAGTTGTTTGCCATCTCAATCACAGCCTTGTTGATTTTTGCAGCCTTCTCATCCTTGGCAAATCCTTTGAAGTCATGGACAAACCTCCTGGGTGTCTTCTTTCAGATGCCATTCATGCACTTCTTGGTGACATCATCCCAAGCCCAAACAAGGTTTTGATGCAGTCACAGATGTTGTAATTCTTCCAGAATTGTATCAGTGTCTTCCTCAGTTGTTGCAATAGCCTGGGCAGTGGTCCTTCTCAGGTAGTAGATGGCTATAACTCCTTGATCCATTGGTTGGATCAAAGAGGTGGTGTTTGGAGGGAGAAACACCACTCTGATAGTGGGATAAAGATCATCAACATTATCAACAATAACCAAAATCTTGAAACATATGGTATTCTCCAAACAGTACTTTTCCGTTTCACTGGCATAGTAATTCGGGAGGACATCTTGGAAGAAGAGGAGCTGGGTCATCCATGGCAATGTGTACTTATTTATAGGTTTGAAGGCCCTGAGGTTCTCATTGTGCCAGATCACAAAGAATTTCAATTTGTAACCTGTTCCATTGCCCCCAAGCAACACTGTTACCTTGTTCTTAAAAGTCTTGAAACCTGGCACTGTTGGCCTCTTTATGGATCAAAGCCCTTTCAGGCATTCATTTCCAGAATAGGGAGATTTCATCCAATTTGAAGATTTGCTCTGGCAAGTCATTTTCCTCCACAATCAGCTTATCTAGAGTTTCTAAAAATTCTTCAGTTGCCTTCACATCAGCACTCTCAGACTCACCTCTCACATTCACATCACGTAGTGTAATGAATAACGATTCTCGAATCGTTTAAACCATCCAGAGCTAGCAGTAAATTGAACATCTTAGCTGGGTCTTTTCTTTTCTTTTTCTTTTTAAATTTAAGTAGAGAGTTTATTTGGGCCAAGTTTGAGGACTGCAACCTGGGAGCATAGAGTTGTTTCAAATATGTCCCCAGCCTTTTCTTTCAACATCACAAACACACTTTTTGCTTTGACTATATCATGGTGCTGAGAGGGATACGCTACTGTGCCTGGTCTTCAATCCAGGTCATTAGAAGTTTTTCCATATTTGATATAGGCTCGTCTTGAATTTTTGTTAATCTCATTGCCTTCGACAAAGCAGATCCTTTAACAGTTTTGGTCACTTTGTTCTTGTTCTTCAAGATTGTATCTGTTAGGTTTGTTCAGGGTGGGAACCCGAAAAGTATGTATAGGATGAAATGCAGTTAATGGAAAACTTAGATCGTGATCATAAAGCCTGTGAAACTATAGCCGCAGGGGTCTGGAGCATCCAGAGGTTTTAAATCTAATTCTGACCACAGATAGTTCTGGCAATGCTGGCATTCCTATCCCCTGGGATAAGGATGAAGCTGACCCCCCATCTCTGCAGGATGAGACTGATGCAGGGGTCCCAGAAATTGGTTGTTTGAAAAGAATTTATTACAGTGGCTGTTCTGGCCCAGTTGCTTTAGTCCTTCCAGAAAAACCCTCTGTAAAACCCAAGGCTTTCCCCTCCCTCATGGTGGATGCTCTTTTAGGCCTCCACCCATCTGCACCCAGATGCCCAAATAAATGGCATTTTGCTAGAGCTGAGGCTTCATGTGTCTCTCTCTTGGCTCCAGACTTAACATTAGCTATGGTGGAATGGGACATGTCTGACTGGTGAGCAATAGCCATCACTGATTTTCCACCTTCGTAGTCCTTAATCACTTTCAGTTTCATTCCAAGTTAATCACTTTACCTGGCCTCTTACTGGCAACATTAGCTGTAGATTTTGTACGCTTAGGAGTCATGATGAACAAAACAACATGAGATTAAATCAAGCACAAGATAAAATGATGCAATCAAGAGATGCAGTAAACATGAGATGTATGAGGCTGCTGCTGCTGGCATAACATGACATACATGTTTTACATGTTTTTACAGTAAACTTTTTTTATATAAGTAGAAACAGTACACTTTAAAATAATGTAAAAGTATAGTAAATACATAAACCAGTAACAGTCATTTATTATCCTTATCAAGCTTTATGTACTGGACACAATTATATGTACTATACTTTTATGCAACTGGCAGCACGGTAGGTTTGTTTATACCAGCATGAATACTCATCACAAACACATGAGTAATGCATTGTGCTAAGATGTTACCAACAGCTATGATGTCACTAGGCAATAGGAATTTTTCAGCTCCATTATAATCGTATGGGACCATCTTTGTATATGTGGTCCATCATTGGCCAAAATGTAGTTGTGCAATACATGACTGTATAATCTTTTCTCTAAGTAGATCCTGTGTTTAAGATAGTGATTTGGGATTTACTGAGAAGTTAGATGTCAGGCAACTTGCTTGTTGAACTCAAGATAATAATAACATAATAACTAAATTTGATTGACAGTTTACTCTGTGCCAGGCTTTGTGCTAAACAGTTTATGTGATTTAATAACTCATTTAATGCCCACAGCAACTCTAGGTGCTATTGTTTTACAGATGAGGAAGCTGGAATTAGAGAGGTTAAAAAACTCATCCAGGGTTTTACAGCTATAAAATTCTTTAGTAAAAGGCAAAAGATGGCCGGGTGCGGTGGCTCACGCCTATAATCCTAGCACTCTGGGAGGATTGCTTTAGCTCAGGAGTTCGAGACCAGCCTGAGAAGAAGCAAGACCCCATCTCTATTAAAAATAGAAAATAAAGTAAAAGGAGAAAGATTTATACGATCTGAAGAGAAACCAGAGTGCAACTATAAAACTGATGAAGCTGGGGTTCAAACCCAGGAAGTATTATTCCAGTGACTTCCTTCTTAAACAGTATTCCATAAGAAGAGCTCCATGCTATTCTTTTTATCCTTCCAAATGAAATTTGCTTTATTGTTTTTCTTCTGCTTAGAAAAGTTGGTATGTTTATACAATGCTCATTATAAAAAATCAGACAAGACATAAGAATCCAGGAGAAAGAGAATCACTGGAAATCTAGTACCCATAACTAACCACTAACCATATAATCATTTGAATGTATTTCTTGCAAACTCTCCTTCTATGCATATATACCACACATGCCCTTAAAAAAAAGAAGAGAGGGAGCATTATACTACATGCAGGGAAATAGTATAGTGAGAGGTTCAGAATTTAGGCCCTGGAATCGGCCAAATTCAGTTATAATCTCAGTTTATGAGCTTGAAATCTTTTTTTTTTTTTTTTTTTGGGTGTTAAATGATCCTTTATTGAAATATTTTCCTTTGTATTTTTAACTAGCTGGGCATTCTACTGCACCACTGTTGATGTCAT